ACTAAAATATATTAGTTGTCATTTTTTGCGGAGAATTTTCTTAAAAAAATATATATGGGTTTAAAAAACTTTTCTCCGCTAAAAAAACCCCCCTAATTTCTTCGTTTCTGTGAAATTTAACATACCAACGGTACAAAAAAAAAAATTTCTCAGGTAAAAATCTACTTCTTATTTCAATTTGTAATTCAATACCTTTGTTTTGTACAACTTGATAAATTAGAATATTACGCAGTTATGATGTTTATTTGGCCTGGTTACCATTAAAGTTTATATGTTGAACAAGATTATTTTGAAAGCTAAGCTGGTTACCAAAGGCGGTTAGTATAGAATAATTGATTATCAAATATTTCTTTACCCCATACGAAGAATATGTATTTAGTTCTTATCTACAAGGAATTGTTTACTTTTTTTCTTCTTCTTTTTTTTAAAAATTTGAATTAGTCTTATTTTTGTTTGAAAAAGTTTCGCGAACTAATGTATAACTCGCAAACCTCAGGGTGAAAAAATGAAAAGGAACTCCAATGAGAAGTACTATAGATCAAGCCATAAAGATTGCCAATGATGTGCATCCTTCCGTGATGTATTCCATTAAAACGAAAAACCTTTTACGTAATGAACAAACGGAATAAAATCTAATCATAAAAATTCTTTCAAACAACGGGATTATTCTGAATGATCCTGACCAAATCGTACGTATATCTTTTGATTAACTTTTCTGTAAGATACTGAAGCAATAACTATATACGCATTGATGAAGCTGTTTTATGTAACTTGATTAATTATTTACAAGAGAAACTCACATAACCGTGGTCATTTTTTTTTTCCATTGAGATGTCATTTATACGGATGTTATTCTTAAAAAACTAAAAACTATGATATTTTCTAGGCCGTTATAAAACGCACGCTATGATACTGAATAAACATAATAAAAATCTTTGTATTGTTTTTAATAAATACTGTTTTGATTGAAACAGAGTTTATTTTTGCCATTAATATGATAAAGTAGAACTTATTTATTGAAATATTTATGAATATCGACACAATAGATAATTTTATTATGACTATTTAAATACTATAAATAAATGGCAATCACCAGGGCAATTTTTTTTATTAATTTGATTGAGGGATAATCATTTTACTTTATGATAATTATGAAAGGAACATTGTACCTATTATTATTATTATTTATATTATTATTCAACTAAATAAGAAAGAAAAATATGCAGTTACAGGCTATGTCTCATCTTAAAAGGATGACTTTATCAACGAAATGTCTACTTGTAAAAACAGAATTTTGACTGGAAAAGTGGTGCTAAATATTTAATGTAATGCTTTTAAAACTAATTTGTAATAATAATTTAATTAATTACATAAATTAAGTATTTTATTATTTAATATTCGATTTGAGTGTCTGGAAATTTATTGATCAATAAAATTTCTTCCACATATTGAATTATATATTTTAATGAAATTTGAACCCTCTTTCTCACCTATCTCATTTCTGCGAACTGCAGAGCGGCCCGCATGGTATTTTTTTTCTACAAGTTTAACAGCTAATAATTCTCACCCTACTAATGGAATGTTACATTTTTTCATGCCAGTGTACTACCTGTTCATAGTTCTAAACACCTCGTAATTGCACGCTTTTTGAGCAATATCTAATAAGCTTGTTAACACGTTCACACCGGGAAAAGTGAAAATACTGGTACGGGAAAAGAGAACATATTGGTAGAAGAACTATTTCAATATTAGATAATATTCGGGAGGAGTTGATCTATTCTCAACAATGACAATTCACTGTAAGGAAATTTATCACAGCGAAGAAGCAATTCAATATAAAAATTGCATCCGTTAAAAACAATTGGTAGTTATGGATTTTTATTATTCCCGGAAAAAAACTAAAAATGAAATTTATTGTTACCAGTTTTTACTCCGGTGCGCTGCCAAGATGAGACAATCTAGCGTGACCCACTGGTGGGTCACCCTGGCGTGAACGTGTTAAACATAAAACTAAATGTAACCTTAATTTGCCCACACAAAAGCGATTTTTTTTAATGTAGAGAAAGTTTTAAGTAAAAATCAAAATCAGTATAAATCAAAATCAGCATAAATCAACTTTATTAATTCCTTTCCTGCCTAAGGGGTGAAAATTTACATTTTTGTACTGATGTGAAGAAAATAGCGATAAAGAAAGAAGGAACGAAAGAAAATAGTGATAAATTAATTACACTTTAATTACGTGGCTAATTTGCAGTGTTACTACCACTTTAGTTTAAAAAATTTTATTCAATATAATTTCACACAATACTTTGTTATGATGTCGCTAGAACATTTCAAATAACCATCAAAAACAAAAAATCCACAAAGAGAAACATCACAGCCGGAGTACCACAGGGCAGCATTCTGGGACCGATATTATACATATTATACACTTATAATTTTCCTATAAACAAAGTCGATTATAACAGCATAACAGCCTATTANAAAAAAACCTAAAAATGAAATTTATTGTTACCAGTTTTTACTCCGGTGCGCTGCCAAGATGAGACAATTTAGCGTGACCCACTGGTGGGTCACCCCGGCGTGAACGTGTTAAACATAAAACTAAATGTAACCTTAATTTGCCCACGCAAAAGCGATTTTTTTTTAACGTAGAGAAAGTTTTAAGTAAAAATCAAAATCAGTATAAATCAAAATCAGCATAAATTAACTTTATTAATTCCTTTCCTGCCTAAGGGGTGAAAATTTACATTTTTGTACTGATGTGAAGAAAATAGTGATAAAGAAAGAAAGAACGAAAGAAAATATTGATAATTTAATTACACTTTAATTACGTGGTTATTTGCAGTGTTACTACCACTTTAGTTTGAAAAAATTTATTTAATATAATTTCATACAATACTTTGTTAAGATGTAGCGATTAGTATTAGAGTAAAATATTTACGCCATCATTTCGATATCTCTATAAAAATAATACCTTCCGTGAATATCAAGAGATTAGGAAGCTATGCAGTCTAATACCTGTTTAAGTTTACCGATTTATAATAAATAAATGATAGGCATCACTGTTTGTTTTGCATAGTAACATTTTTTGGAATTTGACCATTAGCTCTGGGGTAAACAGAAGCACCCCAGAGCTCAAGTCTCCATTTTGGTGGTCAGCCTAACGCGGAATCATTGGTGTTTTTGTCACCGAACATGCTTGGTACTCATTTTATCCACCCATTAAAGGGATGAAAGACCGAGTCAACTATGTCCCGGTCTTAGGATGGAAACCCGGGAACACGAAGCTCTACCACTTCAATGATCTCCTACGTTAGACACGTTTAATTTGATCACAAAAGCAATGCATTGCTAGTTGCTAGTGACCGACCAACTTACATACCTGCCAACATTCACTCTTTTCGAGAATGGATTTTCTAAGTGGTAGTAAAACAATTACCGAAAAACAGTTTTACTCAAAAATATATTTGCATTTTACGCAGGTTGAAATTCGCTATCGTAACTTTACTTACTTTATTTAACAAAAGCTGGGCACCTGGGCCGCGCAGAAGACCCATATCCCATTCATCGTGAAATTACAGTAGTGAAAGCAGTTTGTATACGGAGTCTCTGGGGTGACTGATATTGTAAAGCAAGCACCTTGCTTGTTTAACTGAAAATAATTCTAAGCAACTTGCTATAGTAAAGATGGCTGTGTATGTATTGTCCACATGAGGTAACAAGTTTGAATTTCAAGGCTATAGAAAAGATGGCTGTGAATCTATTGTCAACATTAGGTACTAGGTTCAGATTTCAAGTTTGGTATTGTAGTTGAAGCAGTTGAGATTGTAATCTGTTGATGTTTTGAACTAATGAACTATTGATGTTAGAGTTGGAGATTTTTACTTATGTTGATAGTTTCGGTACGAGGCGTCAGAGGTGAAGTGTGCAGCTATTGGTCTAAGGTTTTTACCTTTTTTAAAGTTTTCAAATTTAAATATTTCATTGAAGTTAGCTGTATTGCAGTTGATAGCTTTGTCATAAAAATCTGTCGCTATCGTAAGGATTATGCGCTTTTTATATATATGCTGTAATTATTTATATGTATCGGTGATCAAACTCATTTATAATTATTATTATAATTCAGAAAGTTTAGTGAAATAACATGAATTTCGCTAACACTTTAAATATGAAAATAAAATTTTGCGGGAACACCGGAAGAGTTGGCAGCTATGCACTTACACTTGTTTCAGAACACATGAAAGATCTTCAATTTTTTTAAATTACGTTACTAAAAACTTTGAAAAGTTGTTATTCTTCGAAGAAGTGCTTCGATCATTCAACATTTTCGGGTAGGAGATTCATAAATGCATTTGCACATAAATTAAGATGGAAAAAAATAAAAAGTGGTAGTAGTATCTAAATGGCTAATTAACGGCATGGCTAATTTAACAGACTTATTTTCGCTTACATTTTAATTCTAACATATCTAATCAATATTAGGTAGTTCAAAATGTAACTATATAATTTTTAATTAAGTAGTGATGAATTAAATAAACCAAATTACCATTACCCTGTCCACAAATAAATTCCTAAAGAACTAGTGTGGCTACCAGTTTGTTATAAAATTTTTTTATGCTTATTTTCGCTACTCTGTGAATACGTATATGACACGCTCGTCTCGAAATGACCACTGCTAATACGTTATTTTGAAGTAAAATACATCTGTCTAGTAATTTTGTTCCAAAAATCCTCTAAACTTTAAGGTTGTATTTTGAATATATATAGGTCTACCAAATACTAAGTGTTTTTCAAAAATGTTTTATAGAGTGATAGACATTTAAAAACCCTCACCACGAAAGAGCTGGAAGAAAGTGGCATATATATATATATATATACCTGTCAACTTTTAATCCTTTTGAGGATGATTTTCCTCAGTGGTAGTAATATGGAATTTAAATTACGATTTTAGGAAGACACATGCGCAATATTTTGAAAAATGCATCAGCAGATTACCTCAAAAATATTACATATTATTATTATTTTTTAATAATAGTGGTCAAAAAGATTATAAATTAAGTTTATTAATGCGAGGAATATGCAGAAAGTATACATTTTACTACCACTTTAAATATAGAAATAAAATTTTACGCCAAATGCGTAAAAGTTGGCAGGTATGTATTATATATAAATAAAGAAAGAAAGAACGAAAATATATATGATTCATATATAATAGCTTTAAATGGCTTTAGCGAAGATGTACTGCCACTGTTGAATATTTTAAGACCTATGACAGCTATGAATAAAATATGTCGATTTATGTAATCTATCAAACGTTTGAAACTGAACAAAAATATATGAATTCGACAGAAAGTAACATTTTGCATTGATCCTGAAAGGGTAGAGGTTCAAAAGATCAACTTTATCTATTTTTCATGTCCGGAAACTTCTTATCTTGTTTGCACGTGGGATACTGTGCATTTATTCCCAGATCACGATTATTTAATATTTTTCTCTTTGATCGGGGTAATCCATTATACAATTTAAATTAAATTCAAAAATGATAATTTGTATAACTGAACTGGGCAAATTATTATTATATATTATTTATTAAATTATAGTGGTTTATTTATAGCTTTAATTCATTTTAACAGTTTAGAAATACATGGCGGAATATGCTATTACTAAAATTAACATTAAGGGACTC